AGGGGAGCTCTCGGAATTGAACAGGAAATTTCACTTTTCATCCGGATCGTAAGTAAACTTCAGTACAACCTTCTTATTTATCAATGTCTACTTGTACCTCAGGTGGCGTATCTAGTAATTTGTAGGCCATTTTGAGGGTGACATCTGATGTTTTTGTTGGGCAATGTTGGGTTTTTGGGTCAATGACAGAATTGTGTTGCTCGGCATATGAGGATTAGCTTGGACCTAGCTCTAGCTCTACTGAGTGGAGCGTTGAATTACGGGTACCCCTCCATACCAACGCTCCACCGATTCGCCATACTTTGGTAGAACCATCACAGTAGCATAGTCACAAACCCACGCGAGGACAAAAAGACCCCAAAAAAACGGTAAAGAGATTACAAATGAGAGAGACAGTTATCCTGGATTGATCTATACATTCTTGACATTCCATGAGACCCCTTATATTGTTCCCAAACATTTATCTACGACTGTTTTGTGTAATAATACGTGCTCCTTGGGTGTGTTCAAAGCCCATACTGTCGAATGTCGTTGATAAAGCGCGACTTGTTTTTCTTCGCGATCGAGCAACGACGGTGACGTCACGTCAGGCGCCCTCATTGACAAGCTAATTCAAGAACTGAGCCTCCATGCAAACACATTGAACTGTAAGTTTTCAGACTATTTTGCTGTTTTTTTCCAAAATGTTCGCTGTTTGGGAACAATATAAGGGGTCTCATGAAATGTCAAGAATGTATAGATCAATCCAGGATAACTGTCTCTCTCATTTGTAATCTCTTTACCGGTTTTTTGGGGTCTTTTTGTCCTCGCGTGGGTTTGTGACTATGCTACTGTGATGGTGCTACCAAAGTATGGCGAATCGGTGGAGCGTTGGTATGGAGGGGTACCCGTAATTCAACGCTCCACTCAGTAGAGCTAGCTTGGACCCTACTATCGCCAGACCATGTCCGAATGTTAAAAAGGCGATAAGTTGGGTCCAACTCCAAGTTACTCGGACTAGTTCTAGTATAGACCCGTGAACGTGGCTATATACATAGCCACGCTTCAGTCTATAGTAAAAACACTCTATTGTGATCCGCGGTTATTAAGATGGAGTGACCGTTCTAGCCGAATTTTGGCTACATTTGACAGAATATTTGCATACAAAAATGAGTTGTACAGAAAATCAGCAGAATATTTTTTTCGGCAGAATTATGAAGATGAAGGAAAATGAAAAAGATTAGAGAAATATGGCACATTTGGTTTGAAAAACACAATGGAACAGCAATACCGGTATATACTGGATGATTTGGCAGACTTTCAAAGTGGATTTAGCAGAATTTTATATGGTATTATTATTATTTACGGTCATCTTGCCATGTAAGACAGTTAGTCGGGTACCCACTGGTGATACTCCTGCCGTTTTGCGCATGCGGAACTCAGGGTACCAGAGTGTCAAAACTGTGTCATGCCTGTCTTTGATTTTCTGATCATTTTGAAAACATTCGTTGTGACAAAGTTGTGCCGTACTTTACATCAAATTTCTTGGCAATGACAGATCCAACACTCGCGGAAATTCACAGGAGGCCCAACAAGTAAGTCACAGTGATTGGCTATGGGCAAAATTATACATGGTTATATGTAGCGGATCAAAAGATAGAATGCGTTCACTTGTATTTACCCGAGGGAAGCGCGTGGCGTTGTATACAACGCCACGTTCACGGGTCTAGTTCTAGTACAGCCTACACATGCTACAGACAGGTAACGTTTCCTGAAATTGCAGAGTTTGGGGTAGCTCTACTGAGTGGAGCGTTGAATTACGGGTACCCCTCCATACAAACGCTCCACCGATTTGCCATACTTTGGTAGCACCTTTCCTACATGGTAGCACCATCACAGTAGCATAGTCACAAACCCACGCGAGGACAAAAAGACCCCAAAAAACCGGTAAAGAGAATACAAATGAGAGAGACAGTTTTCCTGGATTGATCTATACATTCTTGACATTCCATGAGACCCCTTATATTGTTCCCAAACAGCGAACATTTTGGAAAAAAACAGCAAAATAGTCTGAAAACTTACAGTTCAATGTGTTTGCATGGAGGCTCAGTTCTTGAATTAGCTTGTCAATGAGGGCGTCTGACGTGACGTCACCGTCGTTGCTCGATCGCGAAGAAAAACAAGTCGCGCTTTATCAACGACTGTTTCGTGTAATGATACGTGCTCCGATCCGCGCCGTACGACAGTATGGGCTTTGAACACACCCAGGGTGGAGACGTCATTAATTTGTTTAGAACGTGTACGTTTCAGCCGTCTCCACCTTGGGTGTGTTCAAAGCCCATACTGTCGTACGGCGCGGATCGGAGCACGTTCTTTCCTCTCTCACCGCACCGCACGCGGTCGCACGTGCGCCCGCGTGTGTGTGCACACACGTACTGTACACGAGATGAGCCGAGCAGCCAATCGTCTGCGGGGTTTTTTTTTTCGGGGTTGCGACATGAAACAGCCGTCAATCTGTCCAAGCGACTCAGACGCGTCCGGGGTTATTTTGTCAGGGTCAGGTTAAAATCTAATTTCTACACGTTCGTATGGGTCTTTACTGATGGGCAAATTTCGTCGAAATTACACAGCCTAAACAATCGGACGGGCAAATTTAGATTTCTAGGTGAGTACTCAACACCCATACGGAATTATGTATGTCGGATCGATTTCGCCAGGTTCGAAATGAAACAAGAACGTGGCGTTGTATACAACGCCACGTTCGATCACGGGTCTATATGGAGGGGTACCCGTAATTCAACGCTCCACTCAGTACTAGAGCTAAGTTTGGGGTAGCGACAAAACTTCTTTTTAAATAACAAAAAAAACGGATGTGTCCTCAACTACACAACCCCGAAGTTCCAGCGCTCGCGCCAGTAGAGCTAGGCAGGCTAGACCAACATCATTTTTGTACTTACGTTGCCATTGGTTTCTGCATCATTTTTCTTCGGATGGGTGGTGCAGACTTGTCCCTCGTCCCTTCGATTTTAGGCGGTCCTTTAGTTAGACTGTCCTGTTCTTTAAGATCAGTTTTATTTTTTACTTTGCTGTCCTCACTGATGAGTCTTTGAGTTTGAGGGTCCGGCAACGGCGAATCAGCTGACTGTGTCATCAGCTGTTCGCCTGCCGTGGATGCGGCTTCCATGACGGTACAACTACAAAATCAACAGCAGCACACGATTACTTCAGTGGAACAGGTCACAGGAAACTCGTCAACAGAGAAGAAAACAAAGACGCAAGATTTCCGTCAAATATTGTGTAGATGAGAGGTCCATGTATTTAGATTTACATTTAGTTAGTCTTCATACTTTCAATGCAAAGAATTACAGGAATTTTACTGTCACTACACGATTACGATTTAGCCCGACGTGTAAAAATAAAAACCAGCCGCCGGTTTGCGGCAGGGTGACCGTAAGGTCATGACTAAATTCTGCTAAATGCACTTCAAAAATCTGTCAGATGGATCAAAAATCTGCCAAATTCCCCAGAATTACTCGAAATACACTATAAACACTTTAAATCACAAGTAGATATTGTAATATTGCCTTAATGAATATTCATATTGCATTATAGACAATCTATAGCCACATAAAGATTATAGGAATTTACGTAAATGTCAGGCAAAACGCGGTTGTGTCAAGACGAAATCCAGTTCCCAGTGAACCTCAGCACCTACATCAGGCAACCTGTCCTATTTTGCAAGGGTTTGTTTGAAAAGATTGAAGGTTTTGTAAAACAAATGTACCATTTATTTGCAAATTTGCTGTTTTCCTGTCAAATAACCTTCTTGCAGAATTCTGCCAGAAATCTGCCAAAAAAATCCATTCTGTCAAATTTTCTGTCAAACTCGTTTTTTAACCAAATAAATCTGTCAAAGTTAGCCGAAAATCGGCTAAAACGGTCACCATGGTTTGCGGCAAAATTCCACTGGTTTCGAACCACTTGCAAGGATACCAGTGAATTTACATGATCGGAAACTCGGTGAGTCAAATGAGGGCGCTGTTTCATGTTACCTTCAACCCACGTGAGATCCGTGGTTCCACCATCTAGAGCTGTATAATTATACAGCCTGAGCAAAAAAAAAGCGGAAACCAACTCCGCAAAAATATATTTCATATTTAAAGAAAATATGTAGCACCAAACATAACAATGACTGGAAAGTCAATTTCATAAGCTACTTTTAGAAGAAAAATTACTGAAATTGCTTAATCCGTTCAAAGAATCACCATTTAAACGCAATGACCCTAAAACCTTGTTCGTCCAAAAAAAGCAGTTAATATTGTGTATTCTGACTGTTTGGAACAACAAAGACAATGACACAATAAACTTGTTTCAACAACTGTCAACAACTGTAGTACACAATATCTTCATTAATAACCCCGGTTAGGCAAACAATATGACTTATCAAATCCACTTTTGTTTTTAAAGACGGGCCTTCAAAATGACTTTATTGAATATTTTTAACTTTTAAACTGAGGTTTTATCTCCGGTGATGTTTGAAGACAATGTGACGACGATACTTGAAATCTCACTTTTGGACGTAACAGGTTTTAGGGTCATTGCGTTTAAATGGTGATATTCTTCGAAACGGATTGAGCACTTTCAGTATTTTTTTCATCTAAGTAGCTTATAAAATTGGCTTTCAAGTCAATATTAGGTTTAGTGCTACATATTTTTTTTAAATATGAAATATAATTGTTGGGGTTTGGGTTTCGCTTTTTTTTACTCACCCTGTACATCTCCATGGGTTCCACTAAAACAACGCAAAATCGGACTAAAAAAAACGCCGTCTTGTGACGCTCAGGAGTAAGGTGGCAATGTTTTTTTTCTTCAATTTTCTGTACAATTTAACCAGAGCTAGCTACGTCAATTTTTTTTATATTCCCCATCCCAAAACCTCCCCTAAAACGGTCGCCAATCTCTGGGCCCAGGTCTAAATGTAACCCCCCCCCCCCGCATCTATGCCAAATAGACCTACAAGGTTTTTTTTTTTCAAACAAAATCGTCCGAGTTTGAAGCCACAAGTCACAAATGCTTAACCATTTCTACAATCCCAATTATAGGCCGCAAGGACCTTTTACGCGCACCCGTGTACGCGCACCCTTATTTATGGTTAAATTTCCAATTATAAATGTCTTTTTTTTACAAAGTAGTTAACTGTTAACATTTTACAACGTTTTTCGGATTTTCATTTGTGTTTCCTTCATTGAATTATAATTTCGTTGGAATGTGAACCAGACGATGCCTCTGCTGTCCCCCGTCATTGCCTGCTCATAGTCCTGGTAAGGACCGTTCAGATGACTCAAGATGCAGGCGGAATGATACCACCAACCTCCTTGGTAGTCTAGCGCGCAGGACCCACTGTAGCCATCGTTGTCTTGGTCCAGTGTGGAGAATTTGCTTCCATTGTGATGAGACAAGGAGTCTCCTGGAGGAAAACAATCGTGTGGAGCGATAATATTATTGTGATGGAAGAAAATAGATGACGAAAAAAGGGTTCAAAATGAAGAGGCATTGTAATTGAGTAAAGAATATGATTGCGATGAAAACGTGTCAAAGCAGAAGACCATTCGGTGATTCAAATCCACCTTCCTGCCGCACCCTCTCCCGGATTGACCCCCCCCCCCCCCCATTGGTTATTCCCGACAACAGGCAATGACCATCGTGCACACTGCAATGCTTGATAGAAATAATGCCAGTTATAATGCTCTTGTCTTGTGACAGTGAGAACCATAACGCTCATTAATGTCACCAGTAAATTGGTAGGTATTATAAATTCAGAAATGTTGATGGTTCTCGGTCCATGTCTCGATTGGACTCTCATCAGCCTGTCTCTGGCAAGTACGGTCAAGTACATGTAAGCTAATGCACGTGCGTGCGGTGTGGGCAAAAACATTTTCGAGGGAACAAGGGAAGGGGAGTGAGATTTCCGTTTTGTCTTTTGCCCCCCCCCCCCCCATATTGTACAAATAATTACACGGCAAACAAAAGTTTCTGAATACCTTTTTGCAAAAGTTTTCTTTACACCACCAACAGTGGTTATAGAATCAGGAATGCATGGATAACATTCGAAATAGGTGTCAGGCCTAGAGGTTTCTTTGGATCATTGACTAGAGATGGATTTTGAATGTTTTCCACAATAATTCCGATTATGCATCCCAGACTAGTGTACACTTCTATAGGAGTCAGGCCCTCACGGTGGGAAGGACAGAAGGAGCATGAGAAGGAGTTGAGAGAGACTGATGACTGGATAGGAACCATCCAGTCATTCCTAACAAAGTCATTGCCGTCTAAGATGGCTTCTACGAATAAGGGCTGCAGCCCTTATTCGTAGAAGCCATCTTAGACGGCAATGACTTTGTTAAGCTGGGATAGCATGAGTCAATCTATTGTGCATTCATTGTTACTGAAGTAAAAAAAAACCACACACACACAAAGATACCCTCTAATTAAGATGGCCACTAGGCCTATACGTAGTAAGTCTATTGTCTGTCTATGGCATCTTCCTTTTTAAAAAGAGAATGTGTGGCTAGCCTTACTCGTAGATTCAAATTCTAGCCAGACTACAACATTGGTCTTCCTCTAGACTTTACATTCACCATGACTGAAGTTGCCAGATGCTGACCAGGCATACAACCACTCCAATTATCTTCCCCCTCCAATATCTATTACCTTTTCCCTTCCCATGATGCATGCATTCTACGCGTCCTTGACTTGAAAAACACCCCTCCAACCCCGAGCCCTATTTCAAGTTGCTTAACCTGGCCAGACTGACCCACCAGCGTAGCGCGGGGCGTGAGGAGGTGGGCGTTGGGGCGTGGAGGCTCCCGACATTTTCTTGTAACTTGTTTCAAAATGGTTCAATATGTTTTATATCTTTAATCTTAATGTTTCATTCACTTCCACTAAGTTCCATTGCGTTCCATTTCATTTGACTTGTTCTAAATTATGCTATGGAGAAGAATGGGCCGGGAAAGTGAAACGAGGCAGCTATATATATACGGCCCGGACACAAAGCCATTGATAGCGCCCTCTACCGCCGCGATGGTTGACCACGCTTGCCAGGGGCAGGGCGGCTGCATATTAAGGGGAATAAAATCCAAATGCAGTCTTGAAACAAGACCTTAATATTGATGACATACCTCCTCCACCGCCTGGCTCTTTTCCAGCCACTTCCAATTGGAACATGTTCCCAACCACACGGAATGCTCTGTACTTTGTATATGCCTGACTGCCGTCCCAAGCCAGTAGGTCCACGCGTAACTCCCAGCTGCCAGTCCCCGTTAGACGTCTCAAGTTCTCGTTGCCCAGCCAAAAGTCCCCAGACAAGTTTCCAAAACCGTTTCTGGAAATGTAAGTTGCGATGATACTCTTTCCTTAAACAGTGGCATACACATCAGAACGCGGGTGGGGATGGGGCGTCCGCTATACTATGCGCCCTTTCAGCTCCCCCCTAGTGTTTTTTCCCCCCCATCATTTAATCCGCCCCCTTCCAACCACACACACGAAAATTACCACCCCCCGCATTGCAAACCGGACCCTAGTACGCCACTGGTTGCTTTGAAGCGGTACCGTACCAAATTTGCCCAAGCATAGAGAGATTGACTGCTTTGTCTATAAAAAAAAAACCTCCCGTTTATTTATATATGTTTATGCAAGTTTTGAGATTAATATCAATTATAATTGTGCTTAAATATATTTCAGTACCTGTAAGTCTGCCAGTCACGATAAAAGTCCACAGACCCATTCACCCTTCGCTGAAACACCTGAAGGAAAATATCGAACACTTTTAATGGTGAACTTTTTCCCTCCTGCCTTAAAAAAAAAACCAGTTATGAATTTCGGCTTTTGACCCACAACATTTTGCTGAAAATAACATGACAACGATTGAATGTTAAAGTTGATCTACCCGTGCTCTTCGACACGTCATTTTTTTTCCACCAAATTTTCAATTTGTTTCATTTAAACGGAAAAACGTATTTTAACGGAAAAACGTATTTTTTGGTCTTTTCAGGACATTTTCAACTCTCTCAAAATTACAGTTTACTTTTGGTTTGCCTTTGCGCCCATTGAACGCACAGACATACATCCTGAGTGATTGTGGGCCTCAAAATATAAGTTGTAAAGTGATTTGTTCATAACTAAACGTGGGCTGGGGTTTTCGCTGTTCTTTGATGCATCATTCGAATGTGAATAACGTTAGTATTGCTACTTGCTAAAATCTACTTGCGGGTTTAATAACTTCAAGGTATACTCACGATCCAGCCTCCACCATCTGTATCCATATCACAGTACACTGTCAAACTAGGTTGGTTTCCACCCGGATAGATGATGTATAAACCACTCTCCAATGACCCATGTTGGAGGACATCTTGGCAATCGGTAATTTCACCGGGAATCTCGATGGGTGTTGGTTCTTCAACATTAAAAAATAAATACACAAATAAATAAATACATACAAGCGTTCGTGATGGAATGGTTTCAATTTGTGAGTGTTCTTGCTTTATAGTATGAAGAGAGGCGACAACGGGACGGATCCACCAGTTTCAGCCCGAAATGAAACGCCGGATGACAACAGAGGAGCTAGGGGCTATGTTAAACAAGATTGTCACTCTAAATCTCCCTGTAAAGACACTAATAATATGGAATACAGGGGCGTAGCACGGTCATATTTATTGGGGGGGGAGGGTAAACATTTCTTGAAAAGGGCACTTTCTCATCCGTGCTGAACTGTAGACAGGCTTTTTTTCTTCTCCGGACACGTCTTTGCCTTCGTAAAATCGGGGGCTGGTACCATCTGTCGATGGGGGCGCTGTTCAAAACCGACGATTATGCACACTACTAACAGACAATTATTATATGGTGGTTATTAATACCCCCCCCCCCCCCCCCCCCCCCCCCCCCCGCTGGCTACGCCTATGGAATATACTCTGTCGTAATCAAATACATATGTATACAGGCATGCAACTTTTCAGCTGATCAGCTGATTTCCTCTTTTTTGACCTCCCATGTGTGCCATTGAAAATAGAAAAACACTGTACAAAGTCTTGGGAAGATTTGAATTTCCTCTTTTTTGGGATTTCCCAGTTGCATGCCTGTGTATATATGCAAAGCGACCTTGCATTTCCGGTCGTTTGAAAGGATGTCTGTTATGTACTAAAAGTTGCCGCACAATTTCGAACAAGAGTAATGAAATAAACCCAATAGTGGGGAACAAATCAAACCATTCCGCCATCACCCTTTGAAAGGATAAACATATTCACGAAGAAGATTGGAAACACTGAATACCTTCCACACCGTCACAGCCAAACCACGCCTTCAGTTTGTCCGTATCCTGTGTAAATATCACCTGATCCAAGTAGCCGTCGGGTGTTTCCTGATCTTCCATATATATGTTGACGCCCCCTGGGCGTGTCTCTGTACAACTGCATGGATCAAGGGGCGTCACCCATTTGGCAACGCCTCCATTCAAAGCAGATTGGTGAATGTAGCAAATTTTGGCTCTTGCGGCTGAGGAATATACAATTTTAAATGAATTGGCAAATTTCGTACATCCATGGTTTATGTGCGCATGTGGTCACCTCAGTATATAGATATGTTCCTTTTTAGTTCCATGAGCTTTCCTATATTCTTATCAGGCTTCGCATAAAATTTCGGTTTGGGATATCAAATTAATAAGTTCCAATATTTTGATGAATCATCACGCTACTATTTCCTACAGTTTCAATTCATATCGATCGTGGCACAGTATTTCGGGCAATCCATTTTAATGTAATGTTTAGCAGGATGCCGTGCACATACAACATTAACATGTGATATTAATGGTATGAAAGTTATAAGAAAATAAAAGCAAAAGACACAAACAACAAATTTATGACAACTAGGAAAGAAAAAGAAAAACAAAGTGCGAAATTATATTATCAGCAGACCATATGCCTTCTACTGAAAATGTCATAATTAGGCAAGATGAAATTTTGTGACATAAGACGAATTCGTTTCTCAATAACATAGTTCAGCGTAGTCGATACGAAATCGAATACTCCTCCCCGAATATAGGTGTGCTCATGGTTTGAATTTGCTTCAAATAAAATTGAAATTACATGACGAAATTGAATGTATTGAAAGTGCACTAAACCAATTTTGCTGGACGAATTTGAATATTAAAAGGGTAAATTAGAAAAGAAAATGTTTTCAAACAGTGGGGAAACCTACGGAAAGCTATGTGTTTCACTCGGACATTATTATTAGGACTCTTTTTTTTTTCGAGTTTCACCACGAAAAATAGAATGAGACATAGAACCACAAATCTGCCCACAATGAGTATTGGAATTATTATTTTTCACATTTCGAATTATTAGCGCTGGAACATAATTCAGGCGAATCCTATGTGCTTTATGGGCGTAAAAGCAACCCCAAGTAAAGGCGTATTTTCAGAGAGTTAAAAACCTCCAACGAACGTTAATAAACAAGTAGTTTTCGGTTTAGCTAAAACACAAAGCCTACAAACTGAAAGTTCGTTAGGATAATAAAATCGAATATGTTGAAGAGCAGTGGTAGAGATTATCAAATAGCTATGCTGTATAGGAAAGACATCCGCACCTTGGCATTCAATTCAAACAAATTTACCCAAACCTTGGAAAGAATACTTGAGGTTTTGAAATAAAACGTAACGAAGTAACAGCAAGAATTGCCAATTGCAAGCGAATTTCAAACTTGGGAATCGAACTGATTTCCCGCCATGTCTCAAGTGAACAGAGATTTATGTCTCAACATCAAAGGACGGCCGATAATACTTACAGATATACGTTCCAAATGTGATGAGGACGAAACACACAGAGAGTCTGTGCTGAGTGTTCATCTCGATCTGACAAAAAAATTAATAAGCATAGATTTTACGGACAATACTTGAATGATCGTTGTAGTATATTGAATGTTGACTTTAAGCTTCATTCCATTCTGCCTGTAATTACTGATTGACCTGCATTAAAATTGACCGTTTATTAGATGTTCTATGCATAATATACAACGCGAATTATTTCTTAAAAACAATAACAACGACAACAACGACAATAACAACAACGGATATGACACAAATCCATCGCAAAGAAAAAAAACAAAATCGAAACTGTTACAGTAGTATCACGATTATCATATACTCCAATTACATTAAAAACATGATCTTGATGGTGTTTGTTTGACAGAAATTACTGCAAATGAAGTAGATGTTAAAGGAAACGGGTCCCAAATGACCCGCAACATATTTTTTTGCGAGGATCTAGCGTCGGCGCGGAAACACGTACCGCCATTATGTTTTATATCATTCTAAAGATTGGAAGCTTAACTTATCCCTGGTGAGTATTGGATTGGTTTTCAAAAAGGTTTTGAAATTATTCGTGTTCAAATAAAGGCATGTCAAAAACAAACTCACCCGATTGCAAGGAAAATCAATCATGCGCATTTTTTTTCTAATGTGGATATGCTTCATCATGTTCATGATGTGACGAAATCGTTGCCTTTTCTTTCTGTGATTCCTTTTCGATCCAAATAGACTATATACCTTAAATAAATTCATTATATTGTTCTTCGTTTCAAGTTCAATGTGTTTGTAATATAAATCAACTGTTTTTGTTTATTATTTCAACAGCACTCGAGTTTGCATTAATTTGATGTACCGCATCATCGATTTGCCTTAAAATCGGTTGAGTTTGTTTTCGACATGCCTTTTTTTGAACACCAATAATTTTAAAACTATTTTAAATATCAAACCAATGCTCGCCAGGGATAAAGTTAAGATTCCAAGCTTTACAATTATTTAAAAATAATGGCAGCACGTTTTTCCGCGCCGAAGCTAGAGCCTCGAAAAAAAAATTGCGGTATTTTGGGATGCACTGTATTAGGGAGCATGCATGGTGGTAGTATGATGGAGTATCCACCATGCCATGCACTGAATTTAATCATCGCACACAAATTCTCCCTCACGGGAGACGGCATTGCTGGCAAAATCTACTGCGATCTAACCATCATCCCCTTTAAACATTTTTATTAATCAGAAACGAAATAGATATGTCATTCGTGCAAAAATCTTACACGGACGAGGATCAGGACCCCTTTGGAGGCTCCGGTATGAGTATACATGACGTTGTCATGGTCCGTCATCTAAACCTACCAGTTTACATGAGCGCGTCTATGCATCGATTGAAACTACATGTACTCCCCAACCATAGACTTTCATTGCAGCATCATCAACGGCTAATCAAAATGACTTCACAGTCTTCACTTTCTTCACAACCGTTTCTTGTAAGAAATCAGTGTTTTAATATAATGTGTTGATTATACTGTAACATAAATTAAAACATGAAAAGACCCGTGAAAATGTTGTATAAAGAAAATCTAATTATGTATAAAGAAAATCTAATTACCTATTTCACCCCTGCTGGAGTTGCGTCAAAACAGAGCAGACGGTGTTGTAGATTTGGAAGGTCAACCAGGAATACGGCACCGGCAGTCGGACAGTGAAAGATATACGTCCGGCTCGTTTCACTCTATGCAAACAAGCCCTTGTGCCTGAGACAACACATTCACTAATGAGCAAACATGGATCTCTTAATTGAATTCAGAGGAAAAAAGTGAAGGAAAGAATTGACAGCAATAATGGTGGTGAGTGCGGGTTCCTGATCCTGTGCTGAAAAGGCTGTGTATAGGAGTTTTATTATTAACTTTTTGTTCCACTTGTAGGTGCTTTTATGCACGTACATTTGAGAAACAACATGTATTCAGTTTGAGGTGCACCATGAGAACGATAAAACAAAAGGAGATTAAAAATATCAAGCATTTCAGTTTTGATTCCTGTCACAAATCAAATTCCAAATTTACTGTAACATTTGAAACACAAACGGCTGTCCGATAATGCAAAATTTAGATGGTTTGTGTTCTAGGCCTATATAGAGTTTGAGCTCCATGAACAAGTTGTTCAAATGTTCGGGGCCGTATCATAAGTCCGACGCCTCATAAGTCCGACGCCTCATAAGCAGTGGCGTAGCCACGGGGGGCATGGGGGCCGCCCCCCCTTTCCAATTTGCTCATATTAATATGAAATATGATACTGCATGTTGTCTCGATAAGATCGTAACAGTTTGATTTCAAACACCGCATACAAAAACAAACGCTAATGTGTAACGCATATCCAGGCACCTGACTGTTCCTCATTTGCATACGTGTACAAAAATCTTGCACATGCAAATGATCCAATACCAGGGTGAGAGAGCAGGTAGTGGTGGGCGCGTACTGCTCGACACCCTGGGGACGAGGTTGGCCTGACCTAAGATTCATCACGAATAGTCGAGTTTGCCACTCGCGCGCGGACAGCAGGACGACGATTTGGCCACGCAGCCAGGGGGGGGGGGGGGGGGGGGGGAGGTGACACCCTAAGACCCCACCCCTAGCGACGCCGGTGTGATGAGGTCTAGCTTGTAGTGAATTGGTTGTTTGCTGACTTAGGCTGGTAACCTATAGTATGTTGGAACGACGCGACAAAAAGATGTTTCTTGCCTCACTGAATTCGCTTGCGCCGTACAATGCCAATTGTGAAGTTTTAAAAGTGTGTTACTGACTATGGGCCTTTGGTTGAGCCTATGGGCCTATGGGACATTGTGAATATTTTCGCCTCATCTATTTGAAACATGTTAGGTCTATATTTTATTCTATGGCGGGAGAAACTTCATTTTGTATATGTAACGGTGTTTTGTCTCCTGTTGACATTTTATCTTTTCTTGCTTTTCGTTCCTTTTTTCTGACTTAATTAAGGAAACTAAAGCGCCAGTAACACACAGTTGCTATTTTGGAAGAAATAATCTCAACCGCTTTTTATCATGTTAACCATGAACTAAAAAAAAGCAGGCCAAAGATTTCAGAAATGTTGGTTTGCCCCCCCCCCCGCCCCTCCCAAAACCTGGATTATATACTGTGCATTTTGGGCACTCGTTCAAAGTAAAAGATCTAAAAGAAAGCTCCCAAAATCCAAACACGTATGGGTGCCCAGCAGACAAGGAGTGTGTATGTGGTGGTGGTGGGGGGGGGGGGGGGGGTGCACTGGACCCGATGAACCCCTCTCCTGATCCTGGTAATGATAAATTGACCAAAGCTTTGCGCAGCTATAGGGTCGAGTATTGCTCCAATTATTTTCTATTTCTCTCTGTGTTATTTCGCCTTTGCTCAGTATCCTTAACACCGAATGTTGAACCGGTGATAATATGAAAAGTTGTTAAATTAAAAAAATGTAACAACTTTTTCAACGAGCATCACTCAGAATTTTCTAAACGCGGTTAAAATACATGTCATTGCAAAAATGTTAAAAAGGCCTGAATCTGGGGCTGAAAAACATTTCCAATGTATTTTGTTGGAAAATACTTTGAAAATGCACTCGACTCTCCATAGACTTTTTACACAACTCAGAAGTGGCGTCTGGATCCTATCTTTCTGCTTTGGACATTGTAAACCAAATACATGTAACATCAATGTTTTATTTAAAAAAAAAACATTTTGAACTGCACTGTAGGAGAATCCATGCAGCTATGAGCAGAAATTCTGGTAATCTTTACCTTTAGGACCCCGTTGCTATATAAGGTTAAAAGCAAGGGCGGATCCAGAACACAATTTTGGGGGGCCAAAAAAAATTTTGGTCCCCAAAAAGTGGTTCAAAAAATTACGGCGTGGGGTTCGGGGCCCGCTTAAGGGCCCCGAAATTATTTTTGGATTCTAGATGCTCTGTGGTGCGATCTGAGGCAATTTCTGACCACTTTAACCAATTTTTTTTTCGAGGAAAAGATGGTGGTGTACTCATTGCCTGCCTTTATTGCGATGTCACATAAAAATATAAAAAAATTGGTTTCGTTTTTGGGAGGGCCATGGCCCCCTTTGGCCCCCCCCCCCCCTGGATCCGCCCTTGGTTAAAAGACTCACCAAAACAACTGACTAAAGTCACTCAAAAAAGACATTCTGATATTTCTTGACACATTCGAACAGTTGGCAATGATACCTTCTTGAATATCAGCAGGTTTAATTTTGAAGAAAGGGGGCAGGGTTTTGATTTATGAGGGGTTAAAGACGACGATGACAAACAGAAAATATATTAAAAAAGCAAGATGGCGAACTGCAAAAAACGGTAGGAAAGTCACATTTTCTTTAAAAGTGCTTTCAAAATTACAACTAACATTAATTTATCTGAAGAAAAAGACTGCTTCAGCCTGCAAAAGTCACTTTGGTGCTGGATAGTCATCTGCAAAAGTCAGTTTTGAAAAGAACTCTTAAAAATTAGGGTGTCCTTAAAGATAAGGATTACCGAAATTCTGTTTAGGCCTTCATGTTTGGGCCAGCCCCATAAAAAAGTGGCTCAAAATTACTGGACTTCCGTATTGTGAGGAAGTCCATTGAACCATTGGTGCAGATCAGTAAATAGGCCCAAAATTGCATATGCCGGCCAAATCATGATTTGCATGCCCTCAAATTCTCCGGTATTAGAGCATTTTTAGGGCCGTGAACTTAAGGATTTGTAAAAAAGAACGATAAAAGCCACGCAGAGAACTGTGAGCTCGTATATATCAATGTGAAATGTGGATGAAATTAGGCCCTAACTGAAGTGGCACTGTTTTGCAATAGAGCGTTGGCGTCCGTTTTCAAAATGGCGATGGGCATCAGGCCTGCTTTTAGGGGTGATCATCTTTGGATGGAATTTTCTCGAAAAAGGCATTGGATACCCCCCCCCCCCAAAAGAAATTGCAAGGAAAATGAAAGATGATGAAACAAGCTTTAATTTGATGTGTGTCTCAAATATCTTGGAGCGTTCTCATCAGTATTTCTAATGATTTTGAGAAGTGCGCGTAATTAGGCTGTCACTGCATGAGGTCTATGGAAGCTTAATGGTCTGCACCATGTGTGCCTATTTGTTGGGCTAGTTTTGGGCACAAACATTTAAGAACAGGTGGCATTTTACCACCATGACCAAAAGTATTAGCAAACCCACTTGTTCGAAAATGTTCCGTAGGTTTAGGTTTGAAAGGCATGAATACGCTAGTTCACAACTTTGGGACACTCATTTAAAACTGCATCAATCAACTGTGCCAAAAGAATTATCTATAGTCATACCACCAGACTTCTGAAAGGCCAATCTTTAGAAAATCTTGGACATGTACCAGTCTATAGTCTAAGGCTTCAAATTAAAGTGAATTGGCTTTATTCGCAGGTGCAAAATGTTAAAGAAATTTTAAAAAAAATATTTAGACTTCAAACTTGGCTGTTGATCTTGTCATTG